GTGGACACTAACTTTCTCATCCATGTAAATAAATTGGTTTGGTGTCCATATTAATTGAACATTCCAAACCTTCCACTTGATTTCCAGCCATTCAGCTCATCAGGATTGGACACTGCAGGTGAATGAACTAAGCATAGAGCTAAAATTTTTGTATGAGTTTAGCTTGAGCCAAGAAGATCTATCTTTGCAGTGATATTATTTCTCTCTATAGCATAATTGCCAGATTCATGAGTAAGTACCACTTGACTTGTTGGCTTGCTATCTTTTAAGTGAACTCTATTTGGAACCTGGATTTGTGTATATTGCTTGGGAGTTCCAGTATAACAAAATAAATTTGGATGGGATTCCCTTGGGTGAGGGAATCCCATGCAATATATCTTCAGGACTCCCACAGGCCTGGGACTCCCAAGGATGGGGGAAGCCAACCATGGAAGTCCAGGTAAATACCATGGGAGTACCTGGCTACCCCCAGGGGACTCCAAGGAATAGGTAGGACATACCATGGTATTGGGCCCTCATAGGGTAGTCTTACTGGCATGGACTAACTACCCTAAGAGGGTAGGGTTAGGTGGTTGCCTGAAGTGTATAGATTACGCTTAGTCTCTTTCCAAACCCTCATGTAATCATTGGATGACTGATAGTGTATTAGCGTTCAGTATATGAATATATTGGAAGAGGAATTTCACATTTCTGTAAGGTTGATGATCCTCGAGAGGAGGAGCATATTCAACGTATGGAAAATCTTGGTGTTCCCTTTCAATGTCTCTTTCCAGATGGCTGCAGTTACGTTTTTTCACGGGGGAAAATGGCAGAGAGGGAATAGTGGAGGAGGGAAAAGACCTCCTTCCATTTTTTATAACAAGCCTGTTGAAGTGAGGATTAGCGATGTTGCTGTGTGCTTTTCTTCCCATGTTTGTCTACTGTTGAAATGGCCAAAGGATATAATGATGATGTGTAGTGGGAACGAGGAAAATGTGGGTGTAGCGGGAAAGAGGAAAATGTGGCCGTCGAATAGCAAACGCAAACATTCATAACAGATTTGCATTTCCAGCTACGTAAAATAAAAAGTTGGCAGTAAGACTGGGATGAGCACACACCCAAGCCATAAAAGCCGGCCAGCAGGACTGGATAATAGTCAATTAGAAACACAATCTCATATTTCATACACTTCGCATACTCTTTAACGGCGGCTTCTTGTGAACTTTTAATTTTTATCACCTTCAATATGACTGCAAAATATCAAGATCTGTATGTCGCTGACAGCCTCATCATACATTGGTATAAAGGTAGCTTCAATATATACCACCATAACTGTGTTACCAGTTTAGTTACTTAGATGGACCGACGATAATTACAGACAGACATAATTACAGAGGAAGCTAATTAAGGTTTTGTCCTGTGATGCGATCATAACTGTTCCGCTATTTAAGCTATTTAAGGTTATTAAGGTCTGTTCTTTTCCGTTTCGTGTTCGATCTGCTGTGCCGATCAGTTATGTATATTTTTGATAGATGATATATAAAGTAATTCCCTTTCCCGAATCAGGGGTGATTGTTTGTTCATTGTATTTGGCATGAGTTGTTCTCCCTCTCTGCTCCCGACTACCATTTTCCATCTACCTCTTTGCTCCCAAATACCATTAATTATATCATTATGAGTACTCATTCTCAATCCCCTGAACCATCTGCCCCACTTTCCAGTCAAACCAAGCACCATGGGTCCGGGAGGCATTGGACCGATGAAGAAAGTGCTCTATTGGAAAAACATCGGGAGGAGTACAGAGACGCCAACGACGCTGCTCGTGCTGAGATATTTTCTCGAGTTTTGCAAGACATGCTCGACATACTCCCCAATGGAAAATCGTTCAAGAAGGAAGAAAGATCAGCTGTTAAAAAAGTAAGTACTTTTTCCAGGGGCCCTCTAATTGATTCCTGACGGACTTGTAGGATATTAAAGAGTGGTTTGCCCGGTACAGTCGTAAGAGAAGTCAGAAAATGCCGAGGATGGGAAAGTCGTGGCACGCCCGGCGTGTGTTCCAGCATGAGAACAAGGACACCATCGATACCGAAGCGAAAAGGCTTTGTGCCGAAGCCATTGAAGAGGGACAAAAGAGGCCTAAAGGGGGAGATCCCACTCATTTTGATTTTCGGGAGTGGGTCGTGACTCAAATGATGGGAAAACTGAAGAAAAGGGAGAAAGACGTACTGCAGAGGACGGCCGAGGAGTACAACAAGAAGGGAGTTGACCCGGAACTCAAGTCCAAGTAAGTTAATTTTCATTATTCTAACGTTGGCTTATCTGGACCTTTGGTAGACTGGCTGTAAAGAACTGCACAGCTCGGATGCATGCATTTTCCAAGGAACTTTATGACACAATGGGTGTCCGGGTCTTTATCTTAGGATGTTATCTGAAGCCCGATGGTAATTTGGACGTCTCGACGTATGACTTCAATCAAGAACTCGGGAATGGGAAAGACTTTATTGATAACCATAGCCGGACTTTCCATGAGGAAGGAATATCGGTATCTTCTTGGAGAGCACACAATGAAGAATACTATGGGTTGGAGGATCTTGCTTCGGCCGAAGGAGGACACTGATCCTGGGGTGCTATGACTTTGGAGAAGAACCTATACCTGGAACCTATTCTACCCGATCCATCGAAACCACCACTTAAAACTTCCCGTGATATTCGAATTTGGCGGCTGAATGTTCTTCGTACATTTGTCAACCAGCACTATAGTAAGCCGGTCCCCAGAGATTTCTTGCCCTATATCACTAAACATTTGTCTACTTAGATCTTGCAGCTGGGCAGAGTAAGGGATCGGCTCCTTGGACGGCTATTGGATCAAAGTTACTTGACTTCATTGATCTAGAATATATACCCCCGGCTTGGAGATCAGTAAATGGAGAAGGTAACAACTTTTACAAGTTTCTTGATCCCTCCAAATTCCCGATGGAGATGGTCACTGAAGCTCTCCAGTTTTGGTATGAACGTCAAGAACAACACAAAGTTGCCTTTCGATTTAAATCCTTTCTTGAGGGGAAAATGCTGCTGGAAGCACCTCCACGAAGGAAAATCAAAGTTCACATTCCTAAACCTCATGTTCATAGTGTTGGGAAGGGCAAGAAGCCCGGCAGAAGCAAGGGTCAAAGGAGAGGCCGGGCAGCAACCGAGTCACCGTCAGATGAGGAAGCCAGGCCAAAGAGAAAGGAAGGGGTGGAAGATCGGCAGTTCGATGACAACAGTTGGAAGGATTTGGATGTGGACAAACCGGCCAAGAAACGAACCGAACAGTTTTCTAAGGATGACTGGACTCCTGATCGGGATGGCTCCGATGACGATGGAGAAGACTTGGACGTGGAGAAACCAACCAAGAAACCAACCAAATAGCATGACGAACATCGTGAGGATGGCTCCGATGATAGTGACTCAGACTCCGATAATGGTCAAGAGAGGCCAAAGCAGGATACTCTGACCGAGCCCACAGTGAAACCTAGCAGGGTCAACCCGACCTTGGAAGAGGATAGAGACTCGGGATCAGATTTGGGCTCAGACGATGCTACGATCACTGTAGATACCAGCCCCGAGCTTCAGCCTCAGTACAACGACACCTGGGCTCTCTCCCATGAAGTACCATCGGACACTGAGGTCTTGGCTGATGATACATTTTGGGAAGCTGACCTGGGCTGTGGGGTGGAGTCGGCCGATCGAGCGAAGAAGAGAAAATTCACTGATGAGGATACACCCTGCAAGTTTCCTCGGTTAGAGAAGGGTTACAAACTTGGCCCGAGGAGTGCCCGACCAGGCAAAGTCAAATGCCGAGCTGCCTCGGCTGTTATCCAAGCCACTGTCAAACCAGCTCAAGCAACCAATCTGAGGTCGGACACAACCAAAGCTTCGAATAGCTTTGATTTCACTAAGTCAAGTGGTGTCAACGCAAAACGACCAGTCCCTTCAAAACAAAAGGAGTCAGAGGCCGGTCCCAGTCAGCAACCATCTATTGATGTCCCCACCAAGCCAAAACCAAAACCTTGTCCTATCATGAAAGGCAAGGTTTCTACAGGGGAACTCGGTATAGTAACCCGAGAACGGTCGAAAAAGATTGCTGAAGAAAGTGTTCGTTCCACCCGGTCCAAGAAAGTTTCATTCGTCAGTTAAACCTATCATGTTTAATGATGTTAGTCATTCATGCCCGGGTGCGAAATACATAGCATGTTCAATGATGTTAGTCTGTGTCCGGTTTCAGCAGTGTCACTTCGTAGTTCATCATGTTTTCCTATCATGAAAGGCAAGGGTTGAAAAGGTGTTCGTTTGACTAATTGAGCCAGGAGGCTTGTCTTACGACCAATTAAATGTGAGCACTATCCGGCAGCGGGTATCTTCAACCGTGCCCGGGTGCAAACTACATAGCGAACCAACCTCGGTCTTGTGATCTAATCTTCTACTTAAACCCTGGTCCATCCCTTTTGTCCCTCCCCTTCCCCTTGTCTGGGATCTCGTCTGGGATGAATGGCCGTAGTCCTTCTAAAGTAGCGTCCATTGCTGCAACCAGATCACGGTCTGAATCGATTTGTTCACGCAACCGGTCTTTCTCCCTCCTCAAGGTGGCCAAAACATACCGATAATGGCTCGTTGTCGCTATGCTGTCAGGCAGGGATCTGAGCGCCTCCTGGTGAATTTCGCTATGACGAACCAGGTCCATACGATCCATCTCGGTAAACTCATCTCCCCTCGTCAACAATTTATCAAAGGCGGCCTGCAAATTCCTAATCGAAGGGTCGGATGAAGCCTCGGGGTCCATAGCTCTTTCCCACACTTTGCCAATTGCCTGAACGACCTCGGCTACCATGCCCGTGCGATCACCAATGCTGTCATCAGACACAACCTTGATATTGTACTTGCGACATAAACCCCTTGCACGTGGGGAGTTTGGATCCAAGTCCAACAATTCGGTCGAAGGTGGTGGGCGTGGTGTTGTCCTCTCTTGAGTGTAGACGAAGACAGGAGCCGGGCCGAAAACGAAGGCATCGCCTGGCCGAGTTGGCAGAATGGCAGCTCCTCCTTGGCCCTGGAGTCGTAATTTGGCCTCTTGTGATTTCGTCAGATACTTCCGTGATCCCAGAGTACTATTGGACCTTGAGGCGCCAGGGGAAGACATGCCTGGTTTGTCAGAGGCAGGAGCTGGAGCAGACGTGCCAGGTGTTTGAAAATCAATGGAAGGCTGAACAGCCGAGGCCGGGGTAAATGAACGATGGACTTGAAAATCGAAAGGGGATCCTTTATTAGCTGAGGCTGGTGCAGGGTTGTTAGGCTTTTGGAAATCGAAAATGGATGGCTGACGAGCCGAGGATGGGGGAACAGGCGGCACATTCGTTGAAGTGTCCACTTGCTGAAAATCAAAAATCGATGCCTGACGAGCCGAGGCTGGTGCAGGGATGTCAGGCTTTTGGAAATCGAAAATGGATGGCTGACGAGCCGAGGACGGGGGAACAGGCAGCACATTCGTTGAAGTGCCCACTTGCTGAAAATCAAAAATCGATGCCTGACGAGCTGAGGCTGGTGGAGATCTGCCAGGCTTCTGGAAATCGAAAATCGATGGCTGATGAGCTGAGGACGGGGAAACAGGCGGCACATTCGTTGAAGTGCCCACGTGCTGAAAATTGAACATTGATGCTTGATGAGCCGAGGTCGGGGCAAAAGCTGAAGTACCGACTTTCTTAAACTCGAAAATGGATTGGTGAGCCGAGGCTGGGGTGAATGGGTTGGAACTTAGAGCAGGGGTAGGTTCTTTGAAATCGAAAATGGATCTGTGAGGAGCCGAGGATGGGACGTCCACTTCCATCACTAGTTCGGATTCTTGGCTCTGTCCTATCGGCCACCCAGAATTTAGGTTTGGCTAGTTTTCTGTCACCGACTGGAACTCACCACTTGGTTGAAGAGGGGGTAGAGCCTCGGCCGTTCCTAAGATATGGTTAGAACTGCTCAGCCGACAAGAGTACATAAAACTTACCATCCTTCATTTCTTGGTCTTTCATCACAGCTTCTGTTTATATACATTAAGTAGACAATCCTTGGTGTGGAGTAGGGACAATACCTGGATTTGTTAAAGACATATCAGTCAGAGAGTAGATAGCTTTTCCTGGGATTGCACTGTGTGGTTGGTGATGAAGACGCATTGTTTTTCAACGGTGGGAAAGCATGCCACTGCAGATCGGCCATGGAACATTCTGCGGATCTCGGTTGAACATTGTACAGATCTCGGTTGAAGTAACGCCACCACGTGACCGCGTTTACAACTTCGTAATTTCACATTCACCATTGTCCCATTCCGACGCGCACATTCACCACCCTCAATCGTCCCATTCCCACTTACCATGTCCACTGCTGAACTTGCTCAAGCCGCTCAACAGGCCCATACCCTCACTCCCGGGTTCTTGGAGGATGTTAGGGTGGCCACCTCCACGCTTTTGAACTTTTACAACCGTCACAGGGAAGGTCTTCTGGCCCACCAACGGACGGTGGAAGAGGATGCATACGGGAAAGCTGTGAGTAACTAACAATGATTTGTTGACTCAAATTGGATCTCTTTCTCCTACAGGAACGATTTGTACGTTTGCTCATCGACAAGAATATGTGGTATAACGTGGCCCAGTGGCTCAACCACCCTTGGATTTTGGCGTACACGGAAATGGCCCGAGCGGGACCATCGGTTGATTGGACCAAAATGTTCTCGATCCCACAACCCACCACCCCTACCTTCTTTATGGAAGGTTATGCCGGTCCCTCTCCCCCTTTACCTCCATCTTCGACCGATTCATTGCTCCCAGTCACAGTCCCAACTCCCCCATTGCCGGTACCGACAGCTTCATCATCGCTCCCGGCCCCAACAAAACCAACGCGTCGGGCAAAATCAACCGATCCTGTGCCAGCGGCTGAAACGAAGACCAAGAGTAAGACGAAGTCTGGGCAAAGGAAACCCGAGGCCAGGTCCAGCACCCAGCCACAATCAGAGGTGACTCCTAACGACACCGCTGCCCCAGTCCAAAGCAAAAAAAGAAAAGGGGACTTGATCGAAGCCAGGCCAAAGAAGACCAGAGTCGTGAGCGCAGAGTTCATCAACAGCAGCAGTGATGAGGAAACATTGAAGCCGAAGTCGGAGTCACTTCGACCGGTTGGTGGGGAAGCAAAGGCGGTTAAACCCAAGTCCCAGCCCCATTTCTCCCGCATGACACCCAGTGCCGGCTTCAGTCTCATCCGAAGGCCCAAGTTAGACCCCGACGCCGGTCCTCCCAAGACCGCCATGGCCGCTTTAAGGCAAGCCAAAACTGCCGAACGTCTTGCAAATCAGAATGCCGCGATTGCGAAAGGCAATTATCAGCTTGCGGATATCCCCTGTGAGGCCTGCAGCAAACGCCAAGATTGAGACATTGTTCCATGCGCTATCCGTTCCCCCCCACAACAAGGATCCTGCTTCACCTGCAGTACGGGTAAGACGACCTGCACATATGCAGTAACCAAGAAAAAGGACACCGACAGTGAGGTTGAAGACGAGATCCAAAAGGGGTTGCAGGATCTTGAAACGGCCACAGTCTCCGGGGGAGATGCCCAAGTGAAGATCGTGAGGAAGAAAGCGAGGTCAAAGAAGCCGCAGGTGAAGAAGGTGAAGCCAGATGTCAAAGAGAAGGGCAAGCAGGATGTCGAAATGGCCGCAGTCAGGCATGATGTGGAGCATGCAATTGACGTGGACATGGAGGTTGGTCTGACAATGGGAAAGGGGAAGTCCGAGGGTGGTATCGACATAGAGATGGCCGAAGTCAAACATGAGGAAACCGAGGTCGGTGCCATTCCAAAAGCCGACAAAGACGTGGGCCGGGTGACTCCCACCATAATCATTGAGCCACCCACACCACACACATTGGCGATTTTCAAGAGCACTGAGACCGAGGTCGGTACCAACACTGACAAAGGAAAGGGCCGGGAGATTGGGCCGCCAGCCAGTGAGATGGAGTGGATCGTGCCCGAGTTAGCAATGCGGCCGGGTAAAAAATTCATGAAACTCGTTATTCTTTGCTGACTTCGTTTATAGAATTGGGCTTGGCTGTCAATTATATGCAACAAAGCTTTACACCCCCACCTGTTGAGCGCACGTCCCGGCCAGAAGGTTCGTGTTCGGTATCCCGTTCTCGGCAGGTCAGCCCACCAGATCCCAAGGAGGTTCATCGTAAGTTTCAAGTTGTTTTCTCATTTCCCATGATTCTCAACTTGAAAACTTAGTTGACACAGCGCTCTATCAGAAGAAGATTGACTTTAGGTCCTTGAGCCCCCCACCGAACTTTGACATGCAGACGATGCAGCAGGAGATCAGAAGACTTGCTCATGGCCAAGCCGACCTCCTGCAGAAACTCCGAGACCAACAAGCGCAAGTCAGCGTCATGGAGTCGTCTACCCCTACTATGCGAGAGTATTCGGCATTTGTGGTCCGAAAACAAGATATTGACGCAAGTGCCCTTCTCCCCCCGGTGGTTGACTCACCCGTGACCCTGTCACAACGTCTTTTGGCGCTCGAAGAGATTACCCGGTGTATTCAAGATCAAGATTTGGCTAGCCGTCCTCTGTCGGAGAAAATTGCAAGTCTAGAGACCTCCGTTTGGTTTCAGGAAGAAAAAATCACCGGAGCGACTCGCCGGATGGACCATATTGAAGAGTCTGCCCACATGCGTTGGAAGGAAACACAAGAAGATTTGCAGTCCATCCGAAGTGATCACCAGAGACTGGAAGCCGAGGTGAGGGAAGCCGTCAAGACACTGGAGAACAAGTGGGAGACTACGCCAGCTGCGTTACAAGAGAGTCTCACCC